GTCGACGAGTTTAGTCAGCGTTTTTCGCCAGCCACGCTCGATTCGTACACGGTTCATTAGATATCGAACAGATATCGTATATATGTTTGATATGTTTATACCGGCAACCGATCCTTGCCATCTTTCGTCTTACGGGCGAATTATCGTTAGTAGCCCCGTTCATTTGGTGGCAAACTATCTTTGCTTGGTTGAAGCGCCAAGGCGTGCGTACGGGACAAGGCGGCGAGATATTTCGTCTCACGCCACTTGTTACGAGAGCTTGTTACACCGATGCGAAAAATTAAATAAATTACGAGAACAAGCAGCACCTGAGATGCTTACGCAAGCATCCTTGTCTAATATCAAACGCTTGCGCGAATACAGCAATTAGCAACATTTCTGTGGTTGCAAACGCACCACAGCATCCCTCGGCATATACGCACGTCGGTACGTACGTAATCGTTTCATCGATAACGGATGCCGTTGTTACTTGCATCGTGTCCGTCGTTATACGCTCGTTTGCACTCGTAAGAAACTATCGAGCGCCATTTCACTTGTTTAAACTTGTTTCATTCTGACAAGCTGTTATAATTATCAGAGTGTATATCGGCGATGTGTCGGAGAGTCGTCCGTCTAATGCTCGGGTACTAACGCGCATACCTAATCTTGTTGTAACTCGTAACGCGTTTTCGAAATCGTTTTCATCGAGAGGCAGAGTCGAAGGAGACGCGAACGCATCGTACGCTAATTCGCAGGATCGTTGCCGTTTTCCAGACAGTCGATAAATGCGCGAGATAATTTGCCCCCGACTCGCTTCTTGGCGCGGTCCGTTTGTCCAGAGAAGAAATCGTATAATTTTGATTTTCTGTATCTCGCGCTCAGCAACGAAAGTTACGAAAGTTGCGAAAGTACGATATGAATGATACGAATGTACGTTAGATGGACGGGATCCGTACGTCGGTGTCGAGTAACAAAGCGTTCGACTCCGTTGTATTCATCGACGGGGAAATGCTGGAATTAACGCGCGTTAATTCCTCCAGCCGCTTTTAATTGAGCCGAGTTAAGGCCCGACAGCTTAGTCGCGAGGCGTGTTTCCATTTGCAGCGGTCGCCGGTTACACAACGCTCGCGCATACCGTTGTCGGTTCTCCGGCGAAAAATAATCCTGCGTCTCGTTACTTTCGCTTCTAAACGAATTATTTCTATTATTATCGAACGTTGTTTGTCGGAAAGCGACTTAATTATTGCCACATCTGTTCCTGTCCGTCACTGTGTCGCGTTTAAACGACACGCGTTTAAACAGTGTTTAAACAAACACGCTTTCTCGATATGTCTCTCTCGATATGTCTCTCGGTCATCGATCGATTTAACTTGTCGCCATAGATCGCCAGCTGCTATAAATCTATCCGTACGTAATTACCAGTTCCAGCGATATAAACATCGTGCGTGCACGATAAACCGTGATACGCGTGATGTCACCGTTGCGAAACACGATCGCCTGCAAATTCTATATACACGCGTATCTACGTAGCTACGTAGCTACGCGTGTACAGTTTTGACATTGTTAACGTTGGATGGAACAGCGGTCAAGCGACAAATTAATCGACTGGTAGCGAGCGGGTACGCGTATGCCAGCGAGATAGAGCTACCGAGAAATGGAAACGCTTTATCGCAATCGTAAATTGTGGCGCGTAAAGCGTGCATGTATCTGCCAGCCCATATATTGGCATATTGTCATCCCGGTATATCGCGGTGCAGCGTTCAGGTTCTTGACAACCGAATAAACAAGCGAATCTCGCTTAAATCTCGTTCGCTTAATCTCGTAAATGTTGTTGATACGCGTTATAAGAAATACATCGACGCATGGAAAGCTATCCTTTGTTCGGCGTGGAGCCGTCTTTAATGTCGTAACGTTTTAATCGGCGGACATGATTTCGTGGAGAGAGAGGAGAGGAGAAGAGAAGAGAAGAGGGCTGGAGGGAGAGTTGGTGACGGGCGGGCTCTTTGTGTTTCAGTGTGGAGCGCGAGGCATCGAAGAACATCGAGGAGAACGAGAGAGAACGTTTCAAAGACGCGATCGTATCGAGCAGAAGTCTGAACAAAGGCTTCGTCGAGCCTACTACCATTAAAAATGCCATACACGAGGTATAATATCATCATCGATATAAACATGGAAATACGATGTGTATAATGTACGTGTGGAACAACGACCGATCCAACGTCCGATCTCATCTATCCTTAGATCGCTTCCTGCATCATTGCCGCGTCTTTCCATATATCGGTAGGACTAGCCATGGCTTATTCGGCTATTTTGATTCCCCACCTTGAGGCCGAGGACGCGGAATTGCACGCAACGCGAGAACAGACTTCCTGGATCGGTAAGCAACTTGTTAGTAGACGCGTTGATAACGACGATACAAGGAATAGCGACGACTAAAATTTATCAACTAATTAATTAAGCGAAATAACAGAGTGATTGCGTCGAGCCGAGTAAACCGAGTATAACGCGAGGCGTTACACCCGCGAGAGAGGTGAGTAGTCGCCGAACGAAATAATAACCGGCGTAACTCGGTTTAAGAGTTTCTATTTTATCGGCTAAATTACATTTTCATTAGCGTTTCACTGGTTTTTGTTGCTTCGTAACGACCAGCGGAATGGTAGGCGAAACGTTACGATCGAATAAGAGCGAGATTTAATCTAGCAGGTTGATCGAACGACTGGCTAGTTTACACGGAGACGCGCTTCTTTTCCAAACGACTGCAACGCAACCTCTTTTACATAGAAGGTCGGTTGTTTGCAGCAGACATTCGACATCGACGAGACGCGAATGGCGACTGGTTGTTATTAGCGGGTATATCAGCGACGTTAAACGCGATCAATTTTCAGCCAGCGTGGTGGTAGTCAGCACACCTTTGGGTGCCTTGTTAGGAGGATTTCTAATGGAGACGGTGGGAAGATTGCGGACCCTTCAATTCGGCTCCGTGCCCTTCATCGCAGGCTGGATTCTCATAGCGCTGTCGACCAATATCCCGATGATTTTAGTCGGTCGATTGTTGTCCGGGCTAGCCACGGCTCTGGCAACTTCGCCGGCTATCGTCTACATCACCGAAGTCGCAAGACCAGAACTCAGAGGATCGATGATATCTTTCGGTCCAACTTTGGCCTCGTTTGGCATGGTCCTTTCGTACTTGAAGGGTGCATACATTCATTGGAGACTGGTGGCCTGGCTGGGCATAATCTACGCCGTCGTGCCAATCATTTTGGTGCAACTGTTCGTCCCGGAATCGCCTGTATGGCTCGTCTCTAAGGGACGATTGGAGGATGCGAAGAAATCATTGGAATGGTAAGGAAAAGCGAATGAAAGCGATCGGTTTTCCGATCTATGTCGGCGGTATTAGTAGCAGTATAGCAGTATAGCAGTATAGCAGTAGCAGTAGCAGTAGCAGTAGCAGTAGCAGTGACGATAATGGGGGTGGTGGTGGATAGCGGTAGTGGTAGTGATTAATAGTTAGTGGTAGTGATAGTGGTAGTGGTAGTGGTAGTGGTAGTGGTAGTGGTAGAATCCGAGTGAAACGAGCGGCAGGGAATATCGATAAAGACGAGAGGCCGGCTTATTTCGCTACGCGTACGATGCGAAAACAGATAGAAAACTGATTTTCGCTAGATCGAATCAGTATTCGATCACAGACCACAGAGGTCGAATATTCGCTGTACCACAGAGGTAAGCATTCCGAACGCTGTATCGTGTTTGAATCGCAGGCTGTACAAGCACGAGGCGAAGCAGGGCAAGGTGTCCGCCGCGGAGGCGCAGTTCAATACGATCGTGAAGGAGAACGAGATTAAATTGAGCGAACAAAGAAAGAGCAAACACGGCGGTGTCTCCACTAAACTCAGGGGATTCTTGAAGCCCACAGGATGGAAACCGCTAACGATACTCTTCCTCTTCTTCTCCTTCCAACAGTTTTCCGGCATCTATATCACTCTCTTCTACGCTGTCACCTGGTTCCAAGTAAATAACTATTTCTCCTCGACGTTCACAAGCATAGTCGGATCACCGATTCGATTATACATGCTGCGTTTCGTGATTAATCGTAATCACTGTCATTCAGGAAGTCGGTTCCGGCGTGGACGCGTACATAGCCTCGATTCTAGTTGGTGTAACTCGTTTCCTGTGTTCGATGGTGAATACTTGGCTGCTAAGGCGGTACAAGAGGCGGCTCCTCTGTATAATCTCGTCTTTGGGAATGGCCTTTTGCATGACCGTTTCCGGTTACTACACCTATCTTATTAAGAACGGCGATCGTTCTGGATACTGGGTAAGCCTTCCAAGCTAAATGGTGCGTGTATTCTTGAATAATCGTACGACGAAATTGTAAATCATCCTTACCGCGTTGTCTATTTGTTTGCCAGGTTCCTGTTGTATGTCTGTTACTTTACGTTTGCACGTCTATGGTCGGTATGTTGACTATTCCTTGGACCATGACGGCCGAATTATTCCCTACCGACATCCGAGGAATCGCACATTCCATCAGTTATTCCATAGCCAACTTGCTAATGTTCGCTGCTCTGCAAAGTTACAGAAGCTTACAAAGCTTCCTTGGTGGTACGTATACGATATTTTACAGAAGTTAAAGTTCACGGCCAGTTATTTCAATTTCAACGAATTTCACAACCGCTATCGGCAACGAACAAATTTCCACCATTTACCGTACTAAATTCTCTCTCGATAGTAAAGGAACGGTAAAGTCTCTTTCAGCTTTTTCACTCGAATAAAAAGCGGATTAAGTAACTCTTATTTTTAGTGTCGCCGGTCTTCTCTGATTTAGTTGTAGTAATATTTCAATTTTATACGATTGTAATATCTTCGACTGGTTGTCAGACGTATGTATGCTTGAAAAGATAGCCACCAGGCAACTGCTAAGAAACTTTTTTTAAACGTAAAAATGTAGTATTAGGTATACACGTAGAAAAAAGAAAAAGGAAGAAAGAAAAAAAAGCAATTTCATAGAAGCGTATCTCCGAGAGATTATGAAACGAGCAGGTGGTGGATTCACCGCCTATGGCAATATCTTGTGTGATAAATAATTTATCAGTCTGATAAATACCATATTTATAATATATAGAAATGCTTCGCATCTTGTTCATTCCTTGCGCGAGTGGCACATCGGTACACCGAGCAGAGACGTTTTTACACGACTCTGTGAGAAAATGCGTTTTTAGTTTGCCGCCGTATGTTGAATACGTAAAACTGGTCTATGCAGTCGTACGAAAACTGTAGGTGGAAATGGGAATTCTCTAACTCTATTCTCGTACATTTTTCATACGATCGTAGGATCCCATGCCGTGCAGTGGTTCTTCGCTGGTGTTTCCATAACGGCCGTGGTGTTCGTGTGGCTATTGCTTCCGGAGACTCACGGCAAGAAGCTTTCGGAGATCGAGGAGTACTTCGAGAATCATTTCCTAGCAGTGGGTGCCGAGGCGAAAACGAAGAAACGGCGGGCACAGAGAAAGCAACAGCGTATGGACAGATCCGCCACGGAACCGTTGAACCCGAAAACCATACAAAACGTGTAGATGCTTTCTCTTCCATGTGGCTAGGGGGGTTCGTGGCGAGGAAGAGTTCTTAGCTGTATGTACATATAACGTTTCTTCTATACATGACACACGGATTACCGGATTTTTACTTAAAGTTGTTACCTCTGTAAAACACGAAGCGCGAGGATACGCGAGATCAGATTTTTGCGAAAGCGAAGCTACTTCGATATCGTTGAGGTCAAGATCGAAGATAGAGCACTTTGCAGAGCCGAGACAGGAAGACAAAGAGAGAGAGAGAGAGAGAGTATAAATATATTACGAAGCTGCGTAGTTTCATAATCGAGTGTTTCGCGGCGAATTAATTGAGGGCAGAACATAGATTAGAGGAAAGGAGCCGTATGACGAGAGAATGGAAGAGAGAACAGATATATTTCGAGGCTAGACGAAACACGGCCAACGGTCTCGGAAACGTTTCGCCCATCGACCAGGATAATATATAGGGTGGACGAATAGCCTCGCTTGTTGCTAATTCCAGGAAAATTTGTTAACGTATATTTGTAGACTGATATAATGGATAAATTTCTGCCATCACTGGCCTACCGCCAGTTCCGCGATAACAGAATAACTTTTTTAAGAGGCAAACGATAGTATAATACGTTACATACGCGTGAATTCGTGATATACATATAGACGTGTCTGTGTATACAGGTATAGAGACGATGAGACGATTGATGATAATACGCACGGCATGTACTTGCAACGCGATATTGCAGAAGCAGCCAGACGGGAATTTTTTTACCAAAAAGCTCTAGCGAACGACTGTACGCGAGACTATAAAACAGTATTATACGTTGATCTGATATAGCCTCCCTTTTGCCTTTATAAAAATGTATATGAGGGTGGCCGTAGAAGAAGACGATAAAAACATCCTTCGTTCGGGAACAGAGGCCAAGTGCGCGGCCAACTTTAATTTTTTCCTCGCGTCGCGCCGTAGATCGTCTCGCGAAATACCTTATGATCGTTTGCCGTTTCCAGGCAATAGCATAGCATTCCCCTTTTGCAAACTAATTGTTAACAACTTTGCTGTGATTTACCGATATAGACAAGGACAAAGTCGCGCAACGAGAGGAAGCAGTATCCTGTTTTGCCTATGGAGCGTATAGTTTCAAATGCCAATATGTACATACATACATAGTATCGAAGCGCAGGCGCAGGCGCTGCGTTGTGTAAATCATTAACGCCGAACAAATCTATCGGTTTGTTCCAACTTACGGACTTGCTTTCTTTCCAATGGCGCCCATCTACTTAAACTAGATACCTAAATCTTACGATCGTCCCTTTTTCTACGACATTTTTCTCCCGTTTGATATTCAAGTTGATATACGCATCACTTTTTTACCATGCCTTTTTATAAACTATCTCTTCGTGTCTACCGAATGGCCGAAAATGGACCACTGATCGAACGCGCACAAAACTACCTTTTTACCAGTTTATTAATCGTCGCCAGTTTACGGACATTCTTAGTCGTTGACTAATCGAACATAAGCGTTTGTATCGAATGCGATAGCCGCGATCGGTGCACCCGCGGTGTATCTCAAAGTATCGGCTATTCGATACTTCGATACTCGACAAAAGTCACGCGAAATCCATGTCCAAGCGTCGATTGGTTTTTAGCGAAATTCAGCTTGTCCGTAAATTGTTGGAAAAGCGAAACTATTACGAGCAAAGATGCGACCAAATCCTCCATGATTATCGCCATTAGTAGAAGGAAAAGTGAGGAGCATAGTCTATGATCGAAAAGAATGTGTTTATCAAACGCCAATTTCGCCTAAGAAGATCTCTAAAAACATATACGTATATCGAAGTTTTTGGTTCGACAAGTGCCTTTCTTTTTTCTCTCCACTCTTTCATTCGTTTTTTCGTAATATAAGTATGCGTGAATATGCGAACAGAATAGAAATTTATAAGAATGTACTTTGTATCCTTGTATCTATATAGTACGCTTGTATTCTTCGATTGTACATGTATGTGTAAGTACATATGTACATGTATATACCTACATCTATATGGCGTATATACGTACCATTGCAGAATTTCATAGAATGTTTCTAATAAAATCATATTTTTCGAAACTGCTAAATATCGTAATTTATAACTATATATTCCATTCCATTCATAGCGAAAAGCGCAAAGCGAAAAGCGCAAAGCGCAAAGCGAAAAGCGAAAAGCGAAAACAATCGCAAGTTGTTGGTTATCGCACATTCAAATAGAAATTAGTAGCGTAGTTTTTACTTACCGATTTAGATGTGACGTGGATGAATTATTTACGACGAATGCTGAATTTACGATAAAATTCAACGAATCGATAAAAACTTTCGAAAGCAGCACGTTGCTTTCTTACTATAATCATAACAATAACCATTATTTACGCAATTTTCTAAGCACTGCTAAAAACCGCTAATGTCGACCGCGAATGGGAGGCAACTGATGAACTTTCGAAGGAATTATAAGTCCGGAAAGCTGATTGGTTCGCGTGAATTACGCGCGAATATTGATATTACTACTCGAGTTTGTTCTATTTATATAATATGAAACACGAATGATATGTAACATGACAAATATAATTGAAGATAATCTTTCGAGCAACAAGATATTTTAAGAGGATAGAAATGTACGGAAATATATACTCACGTAGTATTATATATAGTATTATATATAGTATTATATCACGTAGTAGTATATATATATATATATATATATATATATATATATATATGACGCTAAATACTACGTGAGTTGTATAAACATCACGTGATATTTAGGGCGGTTTATATAAAGCTATGTGCAACCGGTAGGTAGCTGCACCGTGGGCCGAACCAACGACTGTCGTTTTTTTTAGCGAGATCAAAGATGCCTGGCGTGCTCTACGTCAGGGCACGAGGCAACTCGAGCGAAACGGCTATCGACAGTGAGGCAGCCTCGCAACGTCTGTAGTCTGTACATAGCTTAAGGAATACAAATGCAAATATTTTTTATGTATACGACAATTGGCTTTATTCTGACGCGAATTCGTCAATCAACGAAAGAAAATTAAATACGAGTTTTGAGTTACATGAGTTTCGTAAATGTACGCATTCCTATATAAGACATAAGATCGACATTCGATAATAAAACATAGTCGGACAAAATATCGCAACGAAATAGCAAAGTTTAGTATTTATTTACGTCTTTTTGCTGCAGTACATATTGCGTATTAATTCTGTCAATCCTGAGTTTGTTTCATCTATAGGACAGTATTCTATGTAATGGACTAGTGCATCTTGTCTTATCGTAGGTTTTTCCGATTGAAGATCTTTTGGAAAAAGAAAGACGTACAAAAAAAGAGTTAAACTACGTATGCTTAACACGGGCTGGAAGTATTTTCAAATCTCATTTATTAACAGACGTATGAAGCAATCGACTATTGATCGTTCTCATATAAAATATATTCTCCACTACTAGTAAGGTTAGCATATTAAATATATCGGCGATTCAGAGAATATTTTGTTCCTTATCCCTTTCTTTTCCCCAACGACTTCCTTCTCACGGAAGAACGCAAGAAAATCCACGGTCGAGGAAATTCCATAGAATGAAAGGTACATCTGTGCGTGCAACAAGTATCAAATTAACACGATAACAGAATTAATAGCCATGTCTGCCTTTCATTTCATTTGGTCGCACTCAAATGAATACCGTACAAACTCGAAGAAGTAGTAGCAGTTGCAGTAGCAGTAGCGGTAGCAGTAGCAGTAGCGGTAGTGGTAGTAGTAGTGGTAGTAGTGGTAGTAGTAGTAGTGGTGGTAGTAGTAGTGGTGGTAGTAGTAGTGGCAGTAGTGGTAGTAGTAGTGGTAGTAGTGGTAGTAGTAGTAGTGGTGGTAGTAGTAGTGGTGGTAGTAGTAGTGGCAGTAGTGGTAGTAGTAGTGGTAGTAGTGGTAGTAGTAGTAGTGGTGGTAGTAGTAGTGGTGGTAGTAGTAGTGGCAGTAGTGGTAGTAGTAGTGGTAGTAGTGGTAGTAGTAGTAGTGGTGGTAGTAGTAGTGGTGGTAGTAGTAGTGGCAGTGGCAGCAGTGGTGGTAGTGGTAGTAGTGGTGGTAGTAGTAGTGGTGGTAGTAGTAGTGGCAGTAGTGGTAGTAGTAGTGGTAGTAGTGGTAGTAGTGGTGGTAGTGGTAGTAGTAGTACTATTGGTAGTGGTGGTAGTAGTGGTGGTAGCGGTGGTAGTAGTGGTAGTAGTAGTGGTATTAGTGGTAGTAGTGGTGGTAGTGGCAGTAGTGGTGGTAGTGGTAGTAGTGGTGGTAGTGGTAGTAGTGGTGGTAGTAGTGGTAGTAGTGGTAGTAGTGGTAGTAGTAGCAGCAGCAGCAGCAGCAGCAGCAGCAGCAGCGACAGTAGTAGTAGTAGTAACAATAATGATAAAAATAAAAATAATAATAATAATAATGTTAATAATATCGAGTACCAAAACGACCTCTCTCTCCACGCAGAGAAAGGAAAAATTCCTACAATTTGATTTTCAAATATACGCCAATTCGATTATTAACGCCACGCGTGAAAGAGTATATCCTTTTTACATCGCGACGATTTCCCACGACAGACATAGTATGCTTAATCACTTACGTCTAATTGTTCGAAGCAATTAAAGCATGTGTTCAGTTCTAGCATGTATCAAGTTTAATTGCGATGCGCGCGGACATTGAAATTCTTACGACGATCCTTTTTTCAGTTACAACGAAATATGCTTTGTTCTTGCTTTTCGTGTTTGATTTTTTTCTTTTCTTTCCTCTTATTACAGCATCAAGTAACAAAAGCAAAGGTACGCAGGATGAACGAGCGAGTTAAGCGTATGGAGTAAATTCATATAGCCTGATATCATCGTCGTGATGCAAACAGAGTGGCAAGGATCTCGATAATGTGTCATAATATATTTATATCTACGTATCATACACGCATTAGTAAATATAATATAAATCCTGTTGTCAATAATAATGCTCAAAAACTTAACAAAACAAGCTTTCCTCTTTTTCTCTTTTTTATAAACGATCGCGACACTACGCAGTGTCCAGCAGTGCCAAGGTCCACGTGTACTCAGCACGACCAACGCTGCAGGCAGTGACGATGAGCTACCTAATCCGTATTAATATTACATTAGATTCTATTATTATTTAATAATATGTATGTGTGTGTGTATATATATATATACACACACACGCACACATATATATATATACACACACGCGCGCGCGCGCACGCACGCACGCACGCACGCACGCACGATCCGCACACACCAGGTCAAACCCTAAATCGTTTGTTTTTTTCTTTTTTCTTTTCTTTTTTTTTTTTTTTTAAATAATTACGACAAATGACAAATGAATGACGAAAAGGATATGGATAGACGCAACGTTAAAATATTCATGTTAGATAAATCGATAATAATCACACTAACTCCTACACGTATGTAACCTTCCATACGTTTCTTCCCTCGAAAATCCATCCACGGAATACCGTAAAATGTAAAACGTCGGTAACAATTTCCCGTGAACGAGAAAACTATTCACCCTGCCTGTAATGAAACCGCAAACGGTAAAGACGATTCGCGTCCGTACAATTCGCTTTGCGATTAGCGCAATTTATGAAAATAGACGTGATACATTTTTAGACGATGTCGATGATACATGTATCGATTCACGAAAATGTGGGTCCTCGTGTTCCACGACAAAGTCGCTAAACGAGCACGAAGATTATAAATAATTCGATTTCTTTCTCTGTTTTGCATCGTAATAACGAATGAAAAACTTTCACTGTACGTTTTACGCAACATTAGCAAATACAGGAGCTCTCTAGCTATTTGCAGACTACAATCGCTTCAACGATAGCTTTTCCTTTCCTTTTTACAAGACGATCAAAGACGATCTCCTCGAACAAATTTCGTCCTGACGACACCAAAGGCACCAAGTAAAAGAAATAGTCCGACTTGATTATTGATTATTGATTATTGATTGACGATTGATTCGAAACCAATTGCTCTTCTGTCGCACAATAACGCTTTTGGCACTATTTGGCCACCTATTGGAAAATCAATACGCATTACCATCATGTGTTTTACACCATATCGAATTAGATGCGAGACACGTCTGCCTCCCTCCTAATCTCGACAAGGGTTATGCGTCAACGTAATTTATGCATACTATTCGTGTCTTTGGAGAACATTATCAAATTTAGTTAATGCAGTGTCTATTCCATTTCTTCGTTTTAATACTTGGATCATTCAGTTTCAATTTCATCGTGAAATTATTCTGTTACTTGAACCCACTAGTAAGTAAGAAAAGACGAAAGGTGATAAGTATATATTTATATATAACTTTATCCTTATATATAAATAAAACGAAAACGACAATGGCACAGAATATTACTAAACTCGTTATGTTAGCTTTGATTTAGCATTCGTTTAATTATTGGCAACGTGACGAATAGTTTAAATATTAACGTTAGTTTCGAATATCATTCCCCTAATCATTGCTAATCTAGTTTTGCTGATTTCGTCGCATATAATCTCTCATTCACTCTATCGCATTCTCTCTGTTTCTCTCGCAGACTCTGTCCGTTCAAATATTGTTGCTGTTGTTTGCTCGAAAAACTTTCCACCATCTCGTCTGCATCTCTTGTGTCATTGTGCGTCCTTGGAAATCTGACTAGCACATGGATTTTTAACAAATATGTTCACGATTTGTTTTTCAACATCTCGATCTACGCGACGCATGTAAGAGAGCTGCTCCCGTGACAATCGTATTATGCACGCATGCAAATTATTAAGAGATACGATATCCGCGCGAGCCTTCTCTATGTCGTTAATGCTGAAATGCGAAGAAAATATTTTATATGAAATTTATTCACTCTCACTGTTCGTACAGAACCCATATCAAACATAGCGCCTATACTCAGTTTCAACTTTTCATCGTGATACCTTTGAGTCTTCGCCTTTCTCCTAACTTATCCATTGCAAGGTGCGATACTGTTAGCGATGTTTGTAAATCGGCGAACAAGCGTATAACGTATTTTTATACAATGTCTTTCTCGGTATCGATATAATTGGCATTCACGTATATTCCGCTTACAAAGTATATATGAGTCTCTCTCTCTCTCTCTCTCTCTCTCTCTCTCTCTCTCTCGGCAGTGATGTCGCACTGTCTTCTCATACTTTCACTCACGTCAGATCGACGATATTTAGGTCATTGGCATCGCATTCCTGTCGAACGACCGCAATCAACTCTGCGGGATGCACAACGATACACTGAGATACATACGTAAATATATACAATATCCTAACGAGATATCGCGAACAGAATTCAAAGTATATAAAATCGCAAAGTGGACAAGAGGCACGATACTATGTTTTGCGAGCTTGATAAGATACGAGGAGGAATCTTCTCCTGTTGCTTTTTCCTTTCTCTTTTTTTTCTCTTTTTTCCTTTTCTCT